GGTAGTTCTTGGGGGGGGGGGGTTAGCATATATATATATATATATAAAATATACACACACAGGTCACCGATTTTGCATGACGAGTTGTCCTGGCCCTTCTTCTTTGTGAGATCAGCGCCCTGAACCCCATCGGCCCAAACACCTGAAGCCTTCATTCCAGAACGATACGACCCAAGATCTAAGGTGCATCCTTCGCAAGATAGAGACCGGGATTTCAACCCAAGCCTCAAACCCTTAATTACATGTGGAAACTCCATTTGGGCGCCTTTGCAAGGTAGATGTCTGCTCTTTGGAGAATGTGCTGCTGTCGTTTGCAGCCACCAATCCAGCATCTGGGCCTCGTTATTAAAGCTGAGGGTTTGAGGTCCGGGTCTCCGGTTTGGGATTTCTGACCCAGTTCTGCTCGAGCTGAATTTCTGAGATTGCGACGACTCCTTCTGAATTCCACCCCATGCTCCGAATCGAGCACTTGGAGGTTTTAAGTTGTGTTGGTAAGATTTGGGTTCGAGTGATGTGGCGTTTGATTTTCAGCCCTGACGAAACAATCCCCAAGCCCACGCAACTCAGAAAACCCTCATAGGATTCCATGAAATCCTACTTCGTAAGCCCCAAATGCGAAGCCGGAAACCTTAAACCGGAACCCTAAAACCTTAAAAGCCTTAAACCCTAAACCGTAAAGCACCTAAACCCTCAACCCAAAACCCCCAAACCCTAAATAGAACCCCTCCAGTAGCCGCTCTGTAGCCCTTTAAGAACGGCTCGAAGGAGATCGGGTACTGCCAGTCGATGAGTTTCGTCGCGGCCACCTTGCTCCACTACCTGCCGGAGGCGTCGTATGCCGTTTAGGTTTTTTAGGGTTTAGGGTTTAGGGTTTAGGGTTTAGGGTTATGGGAACCAGGGTTTAGGGCTTATGGCTTATGTTACCTGATCCAGTCTCGTCGCTGCACGGTTCAGATCCGAAAAGCTTTCGCGCTTGACTTTCATGTGCTATTCTTCATCTGCCAGAAGATCACCCCTGTGAAACACAGCCACTCACTACGGCTACTACCGACATACCACAAAACCCTGTTCTACTTATGACAGCCTTTCTACTAGTCCTCAAAGTAACCCTGATGACTCTCAAGCCTAGCACCCTAAACCGCAATACCTACGTGTGTTTTTTGCCGGGGACAGACTCTAAACCCTAAACCCTCAACCCCAAGCCCTATACCCTAAACCCTAAACCCTCAAACCCTAAACCCTACACCGTAAATCCTCAACCCTGAACCCTAGTCCTCAACCCTAAAGCCTCAACCCTCAACCCGAAACCGCGGGACCCCATCACGCAGCATCAACCCTAAACCCTAAGATCTAAACCCTACACCCGACACCTGAAACCCTGTCGAGCATTGCCTTTAGGAGACGTCCTTCTGGACTCTCTCCAGTCTCTTGGAGGATGTGCTGCCGGAGGACTGGGTCTCTTTTGGCGTGCATTTTGGGGGTTTAGGGATTAAGGTTTAGGGTTTAGGGATTAAGGTGTAGGGTTCGCGGAGTAATTCGGGTTTGAGTTTAGGGTTTGGGGCTTTTGGGATTTTTTTCTTTGGGTTCTTTCTGCTTTCTTGCTTTCGGGGTTTCTGAGTCCTCGAGGTTGAAGGGTGTGTTTTAGGTTAGGGTCTATAGGGTCTAGGGGTTTAGGGGTTAAGTTTAGGGTTTAGACTTCTCGGGGCTTCGAAATTGAGAGAGGGCTAAGAGTTTCAGGTCGTCCTGCTTGAAGGCTTCCGTTTTGAGGCTCCAGATGGCGGCAATGTTCAGGGTTTAGGCTGCTAGGTTTCGAGTTTAGGGTTTGGGGCTTAGGGTTTGGGGTTTAAGGTTTAGGGTTTCTAGCACTTTGCAGTCAGGAAGGGCTCTTGGAAGTTGGCAGTGAAAGTCTAAGCCCCAATCCCTCTAAGCGCTCTTGTGCGCCGGTCAGGGCTACTTTGCCTCCCGCATGGTCGGGCTTCGAACGGATCTTCGCGTTCTGAGTGTGTGCCTCGCCTGAATTGAGGGCTCTGGGTGTCGGATTGCGCTTTGTAGGGTGAGGGTTGAGGGCTTCAGATTCAGGATTCGTCGTTTGGGGTGTGAGGATTTCCGGTTTAGGGGGTAGGTTTAGGGCACCTCTGCTGCACCGAGAGCCTCGAAACCCTATAAATCCCATAACGCCCAGGAGTGCTATGTCCCCGTATGCCCGATACATAAGCCCTGTAGGCCCTCGAAAACTCACAATCCTACTCTGCCCTGCGCTGCCCCTCCCTGCCTGTTGTCTGAAAGGAGGAAAACCGACATGAGTTTAGGCCTAAACCCTAAAGGAATAATAGGTTGGTGGTTTGGCCGCCTCAGACGAAGTGGGGTGGGAGAGAAAGAAGGAAAAGCCACCTATAGAGCTGTGACAGCTCATCGCCACAGTACGATGCACTCGACACGACCTTGTCGAAAGATACAACCGCCTGCGCGCTATTCCACGGCAAACGCCAAACTCTAACCCCTAAACCCCTCAACCCTAAGCCCGAAACCCTAATCCCTAAACCCGCAGACCTTAAGCCCGAAACCCAAAGCCCACAACCCTAAACCCCTAAACCCCTAGACCCTGAGCCCTAATCCCGAAAGCCCTAAAGCCAACAAGCCCCAAGCCTATCCAAGGCTCCTGTCGCAGTATCTCCCGAGCCTGGCCGACCATCTCGAAGCCCAAGGCCGAAGCCGAGTGTCTTTGAGCGTTTAAGGCTGGCGAAGAGCTGGAGACTTGATGTAATATAGGGGCCTTAAAGGGTGCTACAAGGGCTACTATAAGGGTTTAGGGTTTAGGGGCCTTAATAATCAGAATTACAGGATAAATATAATGACGAGCCTGTTGTCGGACTCTACGAACGGGAACCCCTTAAGCTCCGGAAAGCCCTGGACGCGCCAGAAATTGACCTCTCACCGATCACTGTGACCCTCGGCCAGCAGACAGAGCGAGAGGCGGGCTACTCGCACAGGGTCTGCCAGGCCTTAGCCATGACAGCCAAGGCTCTTAGACGCAGCACAACTAGCCCTGAACATGTAAGCTCAAGGTAGGACATTTTAGTTCCATCAGCGGTGTTTTGCAACTGAGGGTCCGACGTGTTTGGGAGACCCATATCCTCAGCTTATCTAGCAACGGAGCCAGACAAATGCATTGTGGATGTATTGCCATGGAGGATTCCTAAACCCCAAACCCATCTCCGACAGAGATTGTGCCATCCGCCAATCACAGATTTTTCGCGTGCCTTAAGGAACTGGTTCCTCTGCCTCTTCCTGAACACGCTACCGGCAAAGTGGTCCCATCGCGTGCTCGACACCGCCTGGCTCTCAGCATGTTGGGAAACCCTTATAACTCCAAAACCCAAACCCCTAAACTCTAGACCCCTAAACCCCTCAACCGCGGGTAGCCCGCAAAACCCAATTTCGGCAGGACAGACCTCATTTTGCCTCACGTCTGAACTTCGAACTGGTGGAGCGCAATAACTCTGCGAGAGTCTTGCAGTGGCTACACAATCTAATTCATTACATAATGTCCTTCCAAGCAGGTTCAGGCAATGGATCTATGTCGAAGCTCATCGAATTTGTCGTTTCGGCTTCAGTTTCGTGAGCCATAGCAGCTATACTTGGCTGTCTCTCGAAACCTTGAAGTCAATTCAAGCCTTATTAAGGCCCCTAAACCCTTATAGTAGCCCTTATATAACCCCTTTAAGGAACCCTTTACAGGAACCGTATGAAACCCTAAGCCGAAGCCAGCACTGTCTCCAAGTTTAAACTCGCCCCCAGGTCCTCTACGAGGGTTCCGTCACGCTCTTCCGGCTTGCCTTGGCGATCCTCTCCTTTCGGAGTAAAGAGCTCCTGCTCCTGGGACCTGAAACATGTAGAACGCATTTGTTTTTGTTGAGGGTGGGCATATCATTGTATAGCGCTAAAAGGGGACCCTAAGAGTTTTTTCTTATGTTCACTGGGATAGCCCATCTTTGCTTCTCGAGTTTGGGCCCGGGAGTTTAGGGATTTAGGGGCTGATGGATTAGGGTTTGCGGGGTCCGGGGTCCTGAACCAGAAACCCGCGCAACCCTGAACCCCTATACCTTTCTTCTCCCCGAGGGTTTGGGGATTTGTAGTTCTTACTTGCATCCTGGGTACATTCTTCGGCTCATAACTGTCCGGACATGCTTCCTGCAGCGGATTTTGGGATGTTGGCAGTTTGGGCTATTTCGGACTCTCGGCCCTGGTGTTCAGCGTGACCAGCTATGTCTATGGTGCTTGGGACATGACACTCTGAACAGTATCATGGCTGTCTTCATGTACATTGGCGCCTAGCTTGTTTTTTTTGTGGTTCGCAGTTGGCAGTGTAGAGTTCCTACTCTCAGCCTAAACCCCAAACCCTATTCTAGTACTTGTTCGAGTCGCAGGCAGGGGGGCTCCCAAGAGGGTCAAGTAAAACCCCTGAACCTTAAAGCCCGAAAGCCCTTAAAACCTAGACCGTAACAGCCCTAAGCTTTAGGGTTTAGGGTTTACCCTAAACCCTAAACCCTAAAACCCCAAGCTTGCAGCGGAAGTCCTAGAGTCTTGCGGCCAAGGTCCTGCAACTCAGTCCCCGACGCCTTCATCTACCTCCGATCGCCCTGCGACTGCCGTGGCCCTGCCAAGGCAGAGGGTACATGGGCCCTCGCACCCTATCCTAAACCCTAAACCCTACACCTTTATGGCACCTTCTCAAACGAACCCTTAGAGGATCCCTTGGGGTAGGAAGTGTATGAACCCCGAGAAGCTGTGACCGGTGTCACCCCCTCCTGGCCTCCACATACCTCGACCCCCCCGTCGCTCGCCTCAGACTTCAGATCCTCGCCGCTTAACCTTAGCCTTAAAGGCCTAAAGCCTCCCAATTTAGGGTTTAGGGTTGGGGGAGTTTAGGGTTTAGGGTTAGGGTTTAGGGTTTAGGGTTTAGGGTTTAGGGTTCCTGAACCCTAGAATCCTACAGCTCTGAGCCTACACCTTGAACCAGCTTGGCCCTACTGCGAAATGCAAGA